GTCCAATCAGGACGCAGGGTGGGTGTGTCCTGGAGTGGAGAAGCGACCGTGAGATTCCAACAACAATGGCGGCAAGCATTGAGGAAGCAAGCGTTAGCATTGATGCTGCTATTTCTTCTGTGTTGTCCAATCTATCTGATATTGTTTCATCAAAAGAACATCAGAGAAACGATGTTTTCGCCCTTCTCCCGACCGGATTTGGCAAGAGCTTGATCTACCAAATGGCTCCTCCTCTCACAGCGTCACGGGTTAGCTTCGGTGTGAGTGGTTGAAATAGCACGTCAATAAAGATGACAGACAAGTAGCTTATCCAATCATATGCAAGGCGTTTTGATAAGGCCCAGCCTTCAGTAAAGGCAATTCCTATGGCGGGTTCCCAGATGTATGTGAGTGGAGCTAGGCGGAGCGAGACATGCATCTGGCTGTTGTCAGGTTACTGCAGAGGCTCCCCTGGCTGGGATTTGAATTCTGGCTTCATTTTCAGGACTGACATTTGTAAGAGCAGTGCTCCCCCTGGTGGTGGCTCTACGTGCTACATCTTCTTCACCGTCTTTAACTTCAGTGGCCCTGATGTCCTCTTCCTTACAGTTAGAGTTTGCTTACATTTCAGGACATAAGACATCTGGAGGAAACTCTTCTTCTTGAATATAATAAATGACAACATTAAAACATTTTAGCTGTAATAGTGTAGAAAAATGTAAAAGCTGCGGCAGCTTTCAGAAACCAACATGTCCTCATCAGTAGGTTTCCATAATTTGCTCATCTCAACTTTATGTATTTTATACATGTAATATTATATATATACATATACACTACCGTATGTTATGTATTCTAGAGTAATGGTTTATCACAGCTTATCTTTAAAGATGCCCCCAAATCCAAAGAAAAGTGTCAAATTAACTGTAGAAAAGGAAAACTGGAGGATGCGGGCATCGATCCCGCTACCTCTCGCATGCTAAGCGAGCGCTCTACCATCTGAGCTAATCCCCCTGTTGAGCAATTTCTCCAAAAAAGGAGAACTTACTCCCTGTGCTGTGCGTCAATGACATACGTCTTCTTGCACCCACTAAAGACAGTCTTGTGGTCCCACATGAGACACATTTGACCACAGCAGGGTCACCTTACCAAGGCCTCACACTTGAATTAGCAATTCTGCAGTATTACTCACTGTGAACTTACAACAATCACCTGATTGGCTGACTGTTGGCGAGGAACGGGTGGGATTGGTCACTGACGTAAAAGAAGGAAGCTCCAGGGCAGCTGATAACAATAGAAATAATTGTCGGTAGTGACAGGCAGTAAATAAACTCAGACAGAAGCTGGAGGTTATTTTCAGTCAGCTGATTGATTGATTGACTTTATTGATCTCACAGTGGAGAAATTTAGTCGTTACATCAGCTTGGAGGAATCCCGTCTGGTGCAGAGGCTTTCCTCTGTCTAAGTCCTTTCAGCTGGCCTCTCAAATGCATAGCAGTGACTGTGAGGGGGGAGGGAGGCATGGCAGAGGGTGTGAGTGGGTGGGGGGTTGGTGAGAGTGGAGGTGAGGGTTGGAGACATGCAAAGAGTTGAGGAGAGGGAGGGGGCTGGTGTGAGGGTGGTCAAACTGTGAGCTCAGCACTATAGTCCCAGAAGTTGGAGTCCTGTGTGCTCATACTTTCAGAATATCAGATACAATATTCACTAACACAAAGAAATTTCCAAAAACAATATAGAACGGAGAAAGTAGGAAAGGAGAACACAGAGCCCATGTAACAGGCTGCTGCATGCTTGGCGCCATCTTGAGACTACTACTATTTCTTCTGTTTGTTCCAGAGCTGGTGAATTATATCCCAGCAAGAACAACAAATCACCTGGTAGGGAGGGGCCACAGGGGTGGCCAATAATTGGCTAGGGGGGCATGGTCCCCACTGTTCCCCCATTTAGATCCACCCCTATTTGACAATATTTAATTTCAAATAACAGCACAGTAGACTTGTTTAGCGGGGGAGAGGACTAATGTTGTGTTTGTTGCACATTTTGATGTTCTGATGAAAGAAACATGGGGCTAATATATATTCAAATATTAAAAACAGATGGATATTCTCCCACTCTGCAGAATCTGTTATTTCAATCTCTTATACGTCTGCTTTTTCTCATAGCTTCATCTGGTCTGTTCCTGTTTGGCTGTAACTCCATCCTGGAGAGAAATATCAGCTGCGCTGCTGCCATGAACGCCTTTGTTTATAGATGTTGGAGATCAGCCTGTTTCTCTGACTGTGACTGGCTGGATGTGCTCTCTTCATCCTCTGACATGGGAGCTGGCTCGTTGCTCGTCTGCCTGGCTGTGTGTTTCCTGGACGGGGCCGCCTTTTACACTTGACTTTTGTATCTCTGCTTTTGTCTCCTTGAACCCCAGTCAGCCTCAGCAGATGGATGCTCACACTCAGCCTGGTTCTGCTGGAGTTTTTCCTCTACTGTCGCTACAATCATTCTTAGTGTGAGCAATTGCCTTTGAGTCAATGAGTCGATGCAATCAACTGGTTTTCCTGAGATATAAAACTTTGAATCAATCTTAGGCCCCGTCCACACGAAGCCAAACCCTGGCCTAAACGCACAAATTTTTCACCAAACCAGCCTCTTATCCATACGAAGCCGGCGTTTCTGGGGTCTGTAAATGATCTTTTTTTTATTCAGCCTTCAGAGTGGGAAGATTTTGAAACGCCGTTTTCGGGTTTCCATCTTTAAGCTCTAACCGCATTTTTTTTTTTTACACGCATGTGTCATAGCGTCGCCTCTAAACACGCATGCGCGACACAGTATCACAACAACAATGGCGCCGTACTGTGTTGAATGGTTGCTGCTAATGCTACTCACCCTGCTGTCAGGCTTACAACAGAATCTTCTTCTTCTGGAATATCTCCAGGAAGAACAGAACACCTGAATTTGACTGAACCACGAAAATGGACCCGCAGGGCAACCATGTATAAATATTAGTGCGCTTGCCCAACATTTCGTCGCCTATTTTTGCTTTGGCACCACAGCGCCACTTACAGGCCTTGCATACATTTTGCAGCATTTTCATGCATTCGTGTGGACGATCACATTTATTTTACTTTACGACAAACGTTCTGGAAAATATTAGCGTTTCGTGTTCGTTTTGACTTCGTGTGGACGGAGCCTCACTGGATGATCTGGTGAACTGTAAAGTGCCTTGAGATGACGTGTTGTGAATAAATTAATTGATTTGAATTGAATTGTGTGTCTGCTGTGGAGCAGGCAGGAGTCTCTCTCAGTCGTTCATACACATTTCGTTCTAAGCCATTGTGGCGGACACTCCACTTGGGGCCCCTCAGCGCATCTTTGTGGGTGCATCTCGCCTTTCATAGGCTGGTTCTCCTCCCGCAGCAGTGTGTCGCAGTGAGATTGTTGCAGATATTTTTGATTTATGCCCAATATTGAAGCGTGTTCTGTGTTGTTATTCCACGCCACAATGCAACAGGGACAATCAGGAACCAGCCGTGGGTCTAGATACGGCCGAGGCGTTGAGGAAGTGGGGTCAAGTTTGTGCAACCATAGAGGGACATGAGGGCGAAAAAGAGCGGGGATCCATGTGGAAAAAGAGTCCCAGCGTTCTCACACTGGGAAACACGCATAGTGTAGAGTGGATGTAGATTTGACCAATCAGAGGCCTCCTGTCCGCTGCACTCTCTGAGGTCACCTACAATTTTAGCCCCATTTACACTACCCTTGAAAAACCGATCCAGGCCCAGAACGATCCGAGCTTGGATCGGTAACCAGGCCAAGCTCAGTTTTGACGACCGTTCACACGTCACACTTATCTCGGTTATCTCGACTCCTCGCCTCCTAGTGACGATGTGCGGTATTACTGCTAGGATTGAAGGAGGGACTCAAGCAGCTGGTGGCGGTAATGCACCAAACGCTGTTTGTCAACCGCCGTAAAACCCAAGAAGAAGAAGACGAAGGAGGAGGAAATCAAGCAAATCAAAATGGCGGCGCCCGTCACATTCAGAAAGTTATGCTTGATTATTATTGCTGTACTTCCGTGTTTGCGGTGGGTCAGGCGAAGATGGCAACCTTGCGCGGATGTACTTTAATGGAGTGTGAATCGGCATGTTCAGCCAGTCGGCGATGACGCGTTCTGCTCATGCGCTCTTGTTATCAGAGAACCGAGCCAGGAAAAAACCGAGCCGAACCCACCTCGGGAACTGGTCTGCAGTTAGCGCGGTCCGGTTATGTCTATCTCGGTTCAGTTCAGGTTGTTTCCGTTCACACACGACAAGTTATCTCAGTTACTGAGCTCGGACCGGTCTCGGCTCAGTTTTTTAAGGGTAGTGTAAACGGGGTATTTGTAGAGGTGCAGCAGACTGTCTGCAGAGAGGGCGGGGAAACATTTGCATTCACTGCAACACATGCAGACAAACTGGTTTCTGAGTATAAATCAGCTCTAACCCATCTCTCTTTTAGCCTTACAAAATTACTACAAGCGAAAATGATTTCACATGCACAAAATATGCAAATATTAATTGAAATTATGACCCTTAGAGAGGATTTTAGTTAATTATTCTTTGGATTTAAAACATTGTTTATCCAAAGCTGGTCTCGAACCCACAAACGTTTCTGACTGCTTTGCTCCTCCGTCGCTTTGCATAGGGCCTCCCAGGATAAAACATTATTTCATCCTTAGCATTAAAATTCTGTCTGATTTTTGCTGTTTAACACTGTTTCACTGCTTTGGAAAAACTTATCTTGAAACTTTTGGAATGATAATATTGATATATGACAGCTAATAGTTTATATGTACCAGGTAAAATCCAGTTCAACTAGTGTAAAATGGCTCTTTTTAAATAAGATATAACTGAATCGTATAGCCTCTGGTCCAGAACAGCAGCTGGGTCCAGTGCTGTAGACCAGCCTCCTGAAAGCAGTCTACTCATTATCTGCAGCGACATGTTCCTCATTTCTGTTCTTCATGCTGTTTGTGTACTAATGCTTCCTTGCAGGCTGCAGTTGTTGGACCAGGATTTGGCCGAGTACCCTGTGTCCCTCCGCCAGGCTCTACCTGGACCAGCAGGGGGTCACAGAGGTCATCCGCCTGTGGTCGGTCTTTCCTGATGGGACACACTGACAGCTCTTGGTGGCCTGCTCTGAGTGGCAGCAGCAGTCACAGTGGGAAGCCTCTTCAGCATGTTTGCCTCCTACAGAGCCATGTTGGTGTTTGGCCTGTCCTTTGCCTTCTTCAGGTAGCTGATGAAAGCTTGGGTCATCTTCATGGACCTGCCCTTGAAATCCCTACACGTCACCATCAGACACCCAGACTCACCAGTACACTGGGCCTCCTGGATGGATCATGGCCTGTTTTTTTTTCCCAGCACACCTCCACAGCCTCTCCTATCTCCCTGATCTGGGAGGTTTACCAGAGGATCAGTTGTTTGCTAGCCTGGGTGCCAGTCCGAACTTAGTCCCGCCCACAAGGTTTGAGTTCGGGGAAGTTTGGTCTGGCTCTGCTCCATAGTAGCGCGAGTATTAAAGCCCACTGTCAGGCGTTCCAATCAAATTGTCAGGGCGGGCTTTATACGATGATGGACAGATGATCAAGAGTAACGTTATCAACCACGTGACCAAAGGGCGCTTGGGTGACAACAATAATGGCTGCCGCTGGAGAGTTTGGGTGAGTAGATTCTGCTATTAGGTCTGTTCTAGAAGATATCGACAGCAAATTAATTTTAAAAGAGGAACAGAGAAACGCGATCAAGGCTCATCTTCTTATTCTAGGCGTGAAACTGCACGCTTTGATTTTTGTTGACAACAACTATGCATGGCTTAACATACGTCACGCACTCCGTTGCTCTTATTGGTTGTAGGTCTATCCAGTTGAGTGCAGAGGCATTTTTTTTCCTGGTTCGTTCAAAACACGCCCCATAATCACAGCTCTATGGAGCAGCATCAGACTCATATTCTGACTAGAATTGAGTCGGACTACGTCAGGCTAGTTGTTTGCTGGTTGACAGCAGGTTCTCTCTCCTCCTCACCCCTGATGCTGCTGACCTGACAGACCAGGTAGCTGAGGGAGTTCTCCAGCAGCAATTAGAACCTCTGACCCAGGTGTTTCCCAAACTGGATCTTGGAGTGAACCAGGAAGTGGTCTCCAAGATCTCCTCTGTTCTCCCTCGCTGCTCCTCCTCCTTACAGCAGGCCCTCAGTTGGCCCCATGAGGAGACGACCCAGAGGAGTTCTATGCAACAAGCACCGTAAAAACCTAACCTGAAAGCAAAGATTCGTCATTTTACTGTATTAATATTTAGAACAATAAAACAATCATTAGACTGGATTTCTGCCTCATTTCTTCCCATCAGCAATCAAAGATCTCATAAAATGAACAATATTTATTCACTTCTTATGTGTAAGAACGGACTGTTTATTACCGTTGTACTGTTTTGGAAAATTGATACTGAAATCTGCAATTATAATATTCATATATGACAGCTAATAGTTTATATGTACCAGATAAAATTCAGTTCAACTTGTGTAAGATGCTCATTTTAAGATATAATTATCTTAAAATGAGCATTTTACACAATTATCTTCTTATAAAGATATAATAAGATATAATTGAATCGTTTAGTCTGGTACAGGAATACAGCAGGTCTAAATAATGCTTAAATTATAACAAGTAAATAGACTAGAATAGAATAGAATTTTTTTATCACCGAATTTTAAACACTGAATTTTTTTAGACATTAAGTTCCTTACACTTAATTTTTATCTGGTTTTTTTTAAACTTTTGCAGATGAATTTTTTTCTGGTGATTTTTTTTTTTTTTTTTACTGAAAAAAAGCTGTTGTGTCATGTGACCAAATTAGCTTATTTCATTGGCTAGAAGCTGCTCGACTCTTATCAAGTGTAGATTGCTTTGGCTTAAGTTCACTAGAAGGTCATCACATTTGCGGCTGAATTTTTGCAGCTGAATTTTTTTGCAGCTGGATTTTTTTCCTACTGATTTTTTTTCTGTTGAATTTTACCAGAGAAAATTGAGTGTAAGGAATTCAATGTCTAAAAGAAAAACCAGTGTTTAAAAAATAAGTGTTAAAAAAATTCAGTGTTTAAAATTTGGTGTTAAAAAAAAGGCAGATTCCAATGGAACTGTTTTTCTTCCATAGATCTGCATATAATCTGTGTAATAAATACATAAAAGAAAATGTAAAAGATTTTAACAAGAAAAAAAGCAGTATTAGGTATATTGCTGTTTCTATACCAACTGTAATATCATTTTTGTTTTTTGGCTCAGGGTAATGTCCATATTTCACCTCAGGCATTTATAATTAATAGAATTATGATCATTCAATTTTAATAACATTGTTATGTTAATTAGTTATTGAGGTCCAATCTGTCACATATTGAGGAGTTATAAAGACAATATGTTTAAACTTGGGGCTTGTAAAAGCAGTCCAGCTCCTGTCAACTACATGATGACAGCTCTTCAGCTTTCTCAGAGGGTTTCTATAGAATCCAGAAGGTGAAAAGTGATTGGTCCAAAGTAAGCCCAAAACTGGGAGGTGATTGGTCCACAAGAAGATGAGGTGTTCACTGATTGGCTGGTTGGAGGCTGGGGCTAAATTTTTTATCTCTGTGTACAAACAAAAATTACACGAAATGCACAGGAAAGTAGTGTAGTAGTGAAGTGACTAGTAAAGTAATTATTTTTATAGGGAATTTAGCTTATTTAGTTTTGGAGTTAAAACATCATGTTTATCCGAAGCTGGTCTCGAACCCTGAACCTGGGTTCTGACTGCTTCCTTCCTCCGCCGCTTTGCATAGAGCCTCCCAGGACACAAATTATTTCCTCCCTAGCATTAAAATTATTTTAATGCTTCACGGGCTGATTGTTACCGTTGTGCTGTTTTGGAAAATGTATACTGAAACCTGCAATTATAATATTCATAATATAATGATTCTAGAAGGAGAAACATGATTGGTCAAAAAATAACCCAACAGTGCGATGGCTGCCCCGTGATGCCTCCAGGATGTCATGGTGCGGTGCTACTGGGGAAACAGCTCCCATCATCTCCTGCATTTGGGAGCCGGAGCAGAAGGTAAGAAATCAGACTGTGGAACAATGTAAGGTTTCTCTGGTTGGTAGCGGTCATCCTCAAAGCGGCAACAAAGCTGTCATGGCCGACGCACTTTGTCAGTTTGTTGGTAATAGTTGCTAACTCTGGTCCCTGCTAGCATCCATGCTAGGCTGTTAGCAGGAACACAGAGGTGGATTTCAGCTCCATGAGGAACATGTTTACTGATAGAATGACATAATATGGCCACACTGAGTTTAACTACATTAGCATTAGTTTATGGAAAGAATTCAGAGATGAAAAAAAGTTTAATTAAATCCCAGGTGGGAGATTTGATCCCCTTTGCTTTTCAAATGCTGGTATTTCTGTTAATAAAACACCGGTTTCTTTCTCACTGGACCACTTTTCCTAAAATAGACCCAACTTTTTTTTGGTTTGTTTTCCTTGGTTTGTACTAGAGCTGAATATTAATAAGCATAATTGTGATTAATCAATATTTGAAGTAAACATCCACTAATTTAGTAAATAAATAATCATTAACTGAAGTATAGAGACTTTAAAACATGCATTTAGCTGACAGAGCAACAGATGTAGAGCAGTAACTATACCAACATTGTTAATAATTATATATATATATATTTTTTTTTTTTCTCTCAGATCATCTTGTCTTTATTTAAGATAGATTAAAAGACAACATTTATGACTAATATACTTATCCCCAAACATATTAACCAACACAATGATTATCATTGTCAATGGCTTGTAAAAAAACAGTTAAAGGAGAAGTTCGTTTTTTTACACTTTAAGCCCATTTTCTGTAGTGTCCAGGAGGAAATCGAATGATCGACACCAAAAGTTTGACAATTGCTCCTGTCTCTGCTTTTTTGGCTCATTTAGAATCACCCCCTGGCTGCTTTAGAATGGCTTGCATAGAGCATGTCCGATAATGTCCTTAAAACAACCTTAAAAGTTCTTTTTTTAAAATATGCTACTCACCGGGTCGTCAGCGCTGTTCAATGACGTTCCAAAAAAAGTTTCGTGAAGAAAAAACTTTCCTGTAGTGTTTTATTTAGCATTTTGTAAATCCCATTGAGTTCTGTAGGAATAGTCAATATTCCCCTGCCACCGGAAACGGAAATGGGGCCTGTTTACGCAGTTGTAGTCTTTTCGCTTCACTCTGTGTACTTCGACGTCGAGGTGCTAACGTCTCTGTTAAACACTTTAAAAAACTCTGAAAATGGAATACGAAAGGTGGATTCTTGATTCTCGACGTCGGAGTATACAGAGTGAAGCGAAAAGACTACAACTGTGTAAACAGGCCCCATTTCCGTTTCTGGTGGCAGGGGAATATTGACTATTCCAACAGAACTCAATGGGATTTACAAAATGCTAAATAAAACACTACAGGAACGTTTTTTCTTCACGAAACTTTTTTTGGAACGTCATTGAACAGCGCTGACGACCCGGTGAGTAGCATATTTTAAAAAAAGAACGTTTAAGGTTGTTTTAAGGACATTATCGGACATGCTCTATGCAAGCCATTCTAAAGCAGCCAGGGGTGGATTCTAAATGAGCCAAAAAGCAGAGACAGGACCAATTGTCAAACTTTTGGTGTCGATCATTCGATTTCATCCTGGACACTACAGAAAATGGGCTTAAAGTGTAAAAAACCGAACTTCTCCTTTAATCAAGTGACAGTCATTGATCTGATGGCTACCAAACATAAAAGATCAAATGAGAAAAATGGCACAGATATGAAAGACAAGAATACTAAAGCGGTGGCTACGGTTTCTGTATATAAATAATGTACGTACCAATATTTTAGTTAAAAAATATATTTTAGTTAAAAATACTGAGCTGAGCTCTTTTTGGCTCCGCTCGGGTCAGTCCAGATCAAGACCCACAATTGCAATCGCACCAAACAGGAAAAAGAATGTACAGAAGACCCGGTTTGTCAAATTAAATTATAGTAAAAACAGATCGGTAACTAGAAATTAGAGCATATTTCGTATATATCCAAAAAACTAAGAGCAATTAATTAAATAATTGGATGCAGACTATTGGTGCTTCAACAGACCAGGAAGAAGTTGTGAGATTCTAGAGCGCATCTCACAACTTTAAAAGAAAATTCTTATTGCAGGAATGGATAAAGAGATGATGAGTTTGGAAGCAGAGAACAGAGTTCATAGAAACTATGTTTGATCGTGTTTATCCCTGTTACAAAAACCCACAGAAAGAAAATATTTGGGCAGAAACTGAACATCTGCTGGATGGTGATGGGGATTTTTTTTAATATGTCATATTAAATTTAACGTTCACAGGGTTTATACAGGAATGAGGAACTCTAATTTAATGCTAATAGAAATAATTTTAATGCCATCAACAAGTATCATGTACACAAGTTATTAGTTTACATGAAATAAGGAGCTGTAAGCACAGTTCCATGATTCAAGTTTGTAGATATATCTATATACACTCACCGGCCACTTTATTAGGTACCCCATGCTAGTAACGGGTTGGACCCCCTTTTGCCTTCAGAACTGCCTCAATTCTTCGTGGCATAGATTCAACAAGGTGCTGGAAGCATTCCTCAGGGAGTTTGGTCCATATTGACATGATGGCATCACACAGTTGCCGCAGATTTGTCGGCTGCACATCCATGAAACGAATCTCCCGTTCCACCACATCCCAAAGATGCTCTATTGGATTGAGATCTGGTGACTGTGGAGGCCATTTGAGTACAGTGAACTCATTGTCATGTTCAAGAAACCAGTCTGAGATGATTCCAGCTTTATGACATGGCGCATTATCCTGCTAAAAGTAGCCATCAGAAGTTGGGTACATTGTGATCATAAAGGGATGGACATGGTCAGCAACAATACTCAGGTAGGCTGTGGCGTTGCAACGATGCTCAATTGGTACCAAGGGGCCCAAAGAGTGCCAAGAAAATATTCCCCACACCATGACACCACCACCACCAGCCTGAACCGTTGATACAAGGCAGGATGGATCCATGCTTTCATGTTGTAGAAGCCAAATTCTGACCCTACCATCCGAATGTCGCAGCAGAAATCGAGACTTATCAGACCAGGCAACGTTTTTCCAATCTTCTATTGTCCAATTTCGATGAGCTTGTGCAAATTGTAGCCTCAGTTTCCTGTTCTTAGCTGAAGGGAGTGGCACCCGGTGTGGTCTTCTGCTGCTGTAGCCCATCTGCCTCAAAGTTCGACGTACTGTGCGTTGAGAGATGCTCTTCTGCCCA